AAAACTTAACAATCATATAAGCGTATTACAATCATATAAGCATATTACCACAAAACCTGCAGAATTTAAACACAACAAACATGATGGTTCAATTGAATAAAAATTAATTCAACATTCTAGACATGTATGTTTCAGTTCTAGAAGGCTCTGATGGTTCACCACTGGAAAGTAGGCTGGTTAAGCTGGACTTTTGAAATTACAAACTGAAATTGTGGAGCAGTGATGACCCCAATATACAATAGGGGAGGGCTTTGTTATGTTTTAACAATGGAAGCTTTGACTATAACTTTTTTTAACTACATTTCCATGTTTACATTTTGCAAGTTGCAGGGTAACTGACAGAACAATTGATTATCAACCTTGAGTTAGGATTTCTCAGCTTGAGATAAGGTGTAAGATAAGATTTCATTTCTAAATTTGCCATTTTAGGTCTTAAGTTAAGACTAAACATAAGACGTTTTTATTATATGGCCTCTGGTGGTCCTACCCCTTACAGAAAACCCTTACAGAAAATGTACACTTGAATTTCACATGCAAATAAGACCTCTTTTTTCACACATTTGATAAAAATGAAAAAATGTGTGGAAAAAAAATGTGTGATCACATATGAAAGAACATCTGATTATGTGAAAAAAACATGCAATCACAAGTTCCATTTAAGGTAACATTGTGTCTCATGGTCACATATTATTCACATGATATTGCATGTGTTTCTTTGTAAACACATGGTTTTTTAGACACTTCACAGGTGAAATACATGTGACTTTTTGTGTGGATATTGGTCCCTTACAAAGAGATGTTTGTCCCCTTATTGAGGGATGGCATAGATGGGAGCTGATAAATTGTACAGAAGTAGCTAAAGTCAGTAACTGTAAACCTAGGAATTGTACCTCTGTGGTAGGTGTACATATTAAAATGGCGAATGAGTGTAGGTATAGAGCAGGTGTACCCAAAAATAAATTCATTGTAAATGTTTTCACTCTTACTCTTAACATAGTACTGTGGGCATATAAAAATAGCCTGCTCTCAGCAGGTTTTGGTAAATTATTGCAGCTATGATGTCTCATGCTATGGGTAAACCCCCCTCTCCCCTTGTCCAGCGCTGTCAACATATGAAAACGTTCCCTCTTTCCTTTACTACCTACGCAATCACTCCAGTCCCAACTCCACCATAAGTATGGTTTATTTGTGTGGATTTGAGCATAACTGGCATTGTCACAGCCAAGCATGCCAGTGTGCCTCACTTTCTCTTTTCTCAGTCTCACTATATATGAGTAAAATAATAAAGTGCTTCCCCGGCTGAGCAGATGTGATTGATGTCTTTTATCACTCTTGGCGTGTACCGCTGTCACCAGGCCCATATGAGTGGAAATGGAGCGAGGAGCGCCACTATCAGCCCATTACACCAGCCCCTCGTTACCTGGGCAACCACGCTATGTGTCACTCAGTCCTTGCCGTCCTGGTGCGTGTGTGTATGTGAGATATTACAGCTAATGAGAAGACACATTGTTTGTCTTGACTTTAAACCGCGAGTGCAACCCCTAAGAGGAGCAACAAGGCTGTAAAAAGCATAAGATGTATGTATCACACAAACACAGGTCAGCCTGATATACCACTGGATTTCTGTCCTAGTGATTTATTAGGTCATCAAAAGGTTGATGTTAAGGGCTTTCAGAGTTTAGAAGGCCATTAAAGGGCTATTATAGTCTCTTTTTCCGCAGCATTACCAATAATGGCTGTGATGAGCTGAAATATTGAGCTACTTGTGGAGAAAGAGTCTCTTTCGTCCTCACTCCTCTTTGCATGACATTACCCAAGCTGTCACACTCGTCCCAGCCTGCCAACCTCCTCCCCCACCAGGCCACAGGGCTGAGTGGGGGGGTCAAGCAGAAAGAGCAGTTTCCAGGTTTTCGGTCTTTGAGAAGACTCAAAGACCACTTGTGATCGTTTTGAGGTCGGAATGAAATGAGCTTTGATAAAGACATACATCATGTGACAGTAACTCAAGAGATGACAGAATCACAAGGACCACCTCAGGGTAGCTGACATTATAGTGATGAGAATGCTTTTATGATTGCAGAAGATGTATTGGAGCAGAGTCATTGTCACTATTGACTGCTGTCTCTCAAATGTCCACTTTGTGAAAGACGTATAACTCTTTCATTTCAGCAGCCGTTCTTGTCTGTTAATGGCTGGTATCTATGCTGAGTGTAGCTTCTTTTAAATGTACTCACTGTGGAAAATGTATACTGAAGTGACGTTTGATCTAGTCATGTTTGATCTTGTTCAGGATGCATTTGATGCACTATAGAGCCTCATGTTAAGAGGAGCAACCAACATAATAAAGCTCCTTTCTGTGGACATACAGAAGCACTTATCCTTTCTAACATAATACCACCTACAGCATTAAGTATATGTCTGAACCTGACAAATATTTCAGCTAAAGACGAGGCAAACCAATCCACAAGCATTTTACATGAAAGAAAGGTGGAAACTGTTTCGTATGCCTTGCAATATTGTTGTGGACCACAACGGAGACAGTGACGCACACTTTTCTACAATTATGCACAGTTTTTACTGGTTATTGTTTAGGCTAGTTCAGGAGTAGGCCTGTGCAATAAAGCAGTGTACAGTGACTGGACATTGGCAATGATTGACAATTAACCTGATGATGAATCTTCAAAGTTGATCATTGCCCTGTTGGAAAAGAGACTTAGAGCAGGGATGTCATAGAACCTTTTTACTGGAACAAATGTTGCCATGTTCAACTATAATAATAGGTAAAAGGCAATTCATAAGCCACAGAGTTTTCCATTTTAACCTTGACTGGTTGGCTAGACTACGTGACACAGACATTATGACTGGGCAAATTCACTACTGACACTGCAAGCCCCATAATGCCCCTGCACCTTTTTAACACTTCCATCAAGTCAAGCAGCTTTTACACTATTGTGGCAAATGCGCTCAGCCCTGTAGCTGTTAGCATTTGTTGTCAATACAGTGCTAGCAGCAGGTGGGCATATAGGCAATACTTAACAGCATAGATATACATACAAATGCAAAGTTAATAGCAGAGCATCAGTGTAATGCTAACACTTATGTTAAAGCTAACCACTAGTAGCCTACCGGAAACACGTTAGATCACATTATTTAGGTTAGCAACTCTTATATTTAGTCCAACCTAATTTAATATATAACGAACATTATTTACAATTATAAAGGCTGTTGTGCTATTAACTGAGAAGTTTGTGTTGATGAATTAACAATGGAAAAAAACATCATTACACAATTACAGTTTGTCTCAAACTAATCTGAACAGGGATAAGGAGTGGAAGGAGAAGCACAGAGAAGGAGTGGACCTTCATAAAACATTTCTGAAAATGACTTGGCAGACAAATAAGTATCTCAGGATCCACATCAGCACTTTGGCACAAAAAGAGCTTTCTGTTTTTCATACAGACAGCTCTGCACCCTGACTGGCAAGAGGTTGGACTGGGCCCATTAAAGGCCACCGCACACCAGACATGTTGCATTGTGTGGGGCAGGGTCACGTGGCAGAGCACTGCTATAGAATGCTGGCAAGAAGACCTGGTAAACATCAAGTTCAGGTCCTGTTTTATTTTAAATGAAATAAAACTTTTCATCATTTATCACACTTGGCATCAGTTTACTACTCCTTTACGAACTCACTGTTCCAGAGCTAAAAATATGAGGTGAAAAAAGATGAGAGTGATGTTAGCTGAGGTAACATACCATTAACTAGCATTTGCCCATTTATCTACAGGACTCACTGCCTTTATCTGTGTAAATGTTAAGTCACGGGTGACCTACTGTGGCTTTCTGTGGTCTCAATATAACCTAAATTTAATCTAGTTATGGCAAAATACTGAGTGGGGCACTGTGATGGGTTGAGAATTTTTAGACCCTGCACAGAGCTTCCAGTTTGCGGTGGTCTTTTTGTGTGCCCCACTATAACCAGCAGTCTAAAAAGGCCCCGAAATAGAGAGGACACTTTTAATTTAAGAGATTTGCTAAAAATGAATAAAAATATTAAATTGTATGTACATGTAATACCCTTTTACGGTTAAAACATTGGATTTGCACAAGACAGTAATATGTTATTAAGCTACAGTACAGCATACGTATATATGGTATACACACACACACACACACACACACACACACACACACACACACACACATAGTTTCGGACTCAAACTTTTTATGTGGTTCAGGTTCAGACAAAATTCTGTCAGGCTCAGGTTGGGTTTAAACTCGATGCTGTGGGTCAGCTTGGGTCAGCCTTGGACAGAAAGTTATTGGGCTGTATTTGAGCATGTTTACTTCTGAATCTTGGCACCTGTTCAGAGCACTGTGAAATGGTAACAATCCATGTATATTATAAATGGATGGATTGTGAAAACCTCCACTATTCCTCCTTAAGTGGCACAAGGAACATCTCTCACTTAGAAATAAGACAATACAGTTCCAGCTTTATGTTTCTTGTCTTTCCATTTATGAAACAGAGCGCAATACATATGACAGTTATGTTCTGAAAATGAAATTAAATCAAAACTGAATCATAGTAAACAAGATGAGTATAGCAGAAGAAGAGAGAGATATTGGATTTGTCGGATTTGTTGCCAAGTGAAGCAGCTTACCCTCCAAAAATAACCGAATGCAAACACAACCCTCAGTGCACAAACATGTTTTTATTTGCTTGTGTTCGGGTTGGATGGAGTTTGCTAATTCGGCATTGATTGGGGTTTACGGTCAATGAATTATGAGTTTATAAAAATGTTCGGACGTGACCTTTTCCCGACACATTCTGGAGCTCTGCCACCCAAGCTGGCTGGAGTCAGGCCTGCTGTTTAATTCCCTCTGGACAAGCCACTGTTGAATCTGCTCTCTTTGTACTGTGGTGCATTGGGGGTTGGGGGGTGGGGGGATTCTGTAGACACAATATTATGCTGTCATCATAAAAATAAAGTAGTGCTCACCTTAGGTCAACTCTGAAGGAAAAGAGTTGATTCAGCAGAGTCAAACAGAGCAGACTAAAATACAGCAAGGCGTCACATTGTGGCTTTGTCCTTAGTCTCGAGGGGAAATGTAGTGTGAAAGAGGGTTTGTCCTCAGCGTGGTGTTGTTAGAGGGGGTTCTGTTTCAAAGTTGCTGTAAAATCAATGGATTATGTGGAAATACTGGCAAGCAAGAGCAAGCTGTAAACTTTCACACAGAGAGAGACAGCGAGAGAGAGAGGGCAAGACAGAGAGAAAGAGAGAGAGAGAGAGAGAGAGAGTTGTTTTGAAGTTGCAAACCTTTTAAACTTTTATGATTAAAGACAAGAATAACTTAAACAAGTAAATCAACTAACAGTGTGTAAACCACTGTAAGGAAAGAGAGTTTGAAGCAGCTGCGTGAAAAATCATCATCTTTTCCAGAAACCACGCTCTCAGTTCATGGTAGGGGTCAAATAAAGGTACCTACAGGGGCTTCAATGCAAACTGGTTGAGCTGTTCTTAGGCTATAGAAGTATGTAATAAAACTTTGGCCCTGCTCCTTTAAGGGGCTAACCAGGTAAATGTGATGTACAGACTTCAAAGTAATAAATCGCTGTTGTTGGAAGAAAACCTTGTATCTCCAAAATGATGACTTCACAGAAAAATGAAAAAACCTACTTTACTTTTAATGTAGGTCAATAGAACCAGATCTTTTTTTTTGGGCTGTTTGTTTTGGTCCATTCTTCATGAAATTTACACACAATGTAAATAGCAACAGGCATTTTCAAATAATGTCAAAAACTGAAAAACGACAAAAAATGGAGATATGAGGTTTTCTTCCGACAGCAGTGAAATAATTATAATACTATGGGTGATATGATGATGATGATGAGTTAACTAAATTACCATGAAATGCCCAACAAGTTTTAGGTTGGCAAGTGCGGGGTACAAACTGCAGAGTACTGTGTAATTATTTTGAGTAAAAAGATGTAATTACCAAGACAATCTAAATAAATTACACTAGAATCCCTGACAGGTTCTAGCTATTAATCTGATAAAGGACACAGTAAAATACCTAAAATAATACCAAAAAAAAATATTTGGAGAACAAGGTGCTGAGTACAAGCATACTTAAATTAAATTAAATTTCATTGTAATGACACAGGTTTAAGCAATAAAGTGAATCGAAATACCTCCAAGTATCGGAAGTAGTTCTACGGTGCAAATGGATGGCACAAAATACAAAAATAGATTTCTTAAGTAAATAGTTAAGACGTAAAAAATCTACCAATCATTGCTTTCACTCACAGCCCAGTATAGGATTCGTTTATAGGTAATAAACAAGTACATACCATAGAAGACTCTTTGTGATGTAATGTAATGTAAAAGTACCTTTAACTCAAAGTAATTACATAGTGCTGTAGAGTTTGTACCACATACCTACTCAGTTAATACCTAGAACCTGTTGAGCATTTCAATGCAACTTAGTTATCCAAAATAATTACTAAGTACTTTGGTACCTCACACTTACCTGATTAATGTATATAACTTAAGGGACTATAAAAAAAGCACTGCTGTGTCTGATCCACTCACACCAGCGCAACACACCCTTAACACTCTGCCACCACCACGTCAGTGTCACTGCAGTGCTGAGAATGATCCACCACCTAAATAATACCTGGTTTGTGGTGGTCCACCTCAGGTTAATGATAATTAATAGTTCTGTAATCAAACCAGGGAGACAAGCAAGAACAAATATAAATAAATAAATAAATAAATAAATAAATAGGGAAAAGGAAAATGCAGCTAAACCAAGGGACAAAAACATTGGAAACAAATCACTGTGCATTTTCCATTCTTTTTCATCTTGGCTTTTTTACAGAAAAGAAAAAGAAATATGCCAATTTGATTTACCTTCAGTTCTGGTATTTCTATAGGTGCTTCTATAGCTGCTCTATTACTTGCAGCAAAAACAATGAAAGCTATAAATACATTGTGCGTCACCAGCCTCAGCTCAGCCTTGTGTTTCATTATCTGATTTACTGTGTCCATATCCAGCAAAATCTATATGTTTACTTATTCATATATGTGTATCTACTTTCCTGCTGACAGTAGAGGCTGCATGTGTTTTCATAACAACAGTTCCAGTTTCAGGCGGCACCTCAAAACCAGTAGAACATACAGAGAATGCTAATGTTTCACCCACTGAGGAGCCATTACCCTCACACATGCATGCTCACTCCCCAGGGCCCAGAGCCAAACAGAGCCTCTACAGTATCTGCACTATTCAATAGGTGAGAACAGTGAGCGCATGAAGGGTTAAAGTGGTGTGATAAGGGAAAAGAGAAATCGTGGGCTGTGGGGTGTTCAGATAAAGGTGCTAGCGCTTAGCGGTTGGCCCTGGCAATTCCATCATGTTGCACTCCAGAAAAAAAGTGTTGAAAGTGGAAAGTGGAAGGAATCTCCTGGGAGGAAAAAACTCTCTCATGACAGCTGACACTCACACAGCATCTTCAGTTTACTGAGACACTGAGACCAAAACTCTCACTCTGCTTCATTGAGCTCAGTTTAATTTTAACCCCTTAGACTTCAGAGAACTTTCTGATGGTCCAAACTTCAGTTCTTGTCTTTCCTGACTACATAACTTAGATTTATTTTTGTAATTATAGTCTACTTCTTCGAAGTTACTGCATGATTTTAAGCTTGAAGTTTTAAGGGAATTCTGCCAATTTTTCAACATTTCTGCATTATGTGATACAGATTTCCTCACAATGGTTCTGATAGGAACCAGGTTCACAATGTCTTCAACGCAAATATAGCCATTTTCTTTACTAGTCAAAACATCAGTGAATATACTTTGACATTATATACATATACATATATATGACTTTTTTGTTGCCAATGTTAAAACAGTGGTAACAAGTTTTTTTGGGGTTGAATTTTGCCTTACAACACACTGCATGCACCTCTCCAAACTACTGCAAAACACTGTCATAAGCGTCAGGCAACTTATCCTTAACCAACTCATGTAATACTTTCTGTGAGGTGGCTTTGGGTACAGTAATCCCTTAACATTCCACGCTTATTACATACTAACTACAGGGACTTCAGTGCAAACTAATGGAGCTTTGCTTAGGTTATAGAAGTGTGTAATAAAACTTTAGGCCCACCAGCAGGCCCTTGGCTTGGTAAGGGGTTAATCCGTTCAAATGCCTGGTTCCTGTTACCCTCATTGTCAACAATTCCGACTCTATAAGGTTCCCTTAAAATGAGCAATTCACTTCAAATCACTCTCAATGACTTTGTTTACATATTAACACATTTTACAGACATAAAATAAAAAAAGTAAATCTGTTGAACTTCCTTTCAAGTTTCTCAATGAGCTTCTATATTTCAGAGAAACATTTGTGAAAAGAGATAACCATCTGGATTCAAGACAAATGTTTGCTTTGCGTGCAGTAAAATAGGGGAAAATCACTGCCAGAACACTTTGGCACCACTGCTGCACTGCTAGTACCTTATGAAGCTATTAGCATACAACACGAACAGCTCATTCCAGGCAACCATTAAGAATTCACAAGAGCAGTGCGAATGTGCCGAGAGGGGAGTGACAGGACTTGGTGCTCTAAACACAGTGGAATCATGAATGAGCCAGCTGGCAGAACACACAAGCCCATACAAAAACATCTAGGCTAGATGCGTGTCTGATGGAAGATTAGGAGGAATTAGTGAAGTTTTAATGTGTTGTACACATTATTTTCAGACAATATGAAGCTAGTTTGTTGAAATGTGTAGAAATAGAACTATTCTGCTGCTTTTATTGACAGTGCTTTAATGCACCTGTCGTAAGAGCACCACATATCACTTTCATACATTAAGAATCCAAAAGTCAAAGTACTTCAGAGTCATTGTCTCTAACAACAGATCTGTGTTGAGTGATAGCTGAAACATAGTTTCTCCAGAACATGGTGCTGCATTCAACACAGAACAGCAGCAGAGAGTAGTGCAAAAAATACAGTAATTCAATAAATACAGACAATAATTCACACAAACACTATTTAGTGGACAAAATGACTTCAGGATAAAAGAGACTAAACAGTAAATACTGAACAGGTGGAGGGAAGATAAAATGACTCAATCAGATGGAATATACCCAACAGCAACAACCATTTATATGCACAGTACTGTTCAAAAGACAGAAACCACCCTTTTCTTTATTGAATTTTCAGTCAACATGGCCATTAAACACAAGTTCCTGAGATATTTCTGAGGAGATTAGATATATGATAATTTATTTCCATAAGAAAAGGGAAAGTAAGAGAAAAAAAGAAGCTAAACAAAATCTAGCAGATAAACAAAACCTTTACTGTCAGACAAACAGTACTTTTTTTTACCAACTTCTAAGACTGAACTTTTAAGGTGTATAAAATATCCCTTCAGATTTCTTTTACAAACTGAAAGCAAGTCTCCTTGAACACATTAAATATCAAAGGAATAATATTACATTTACTTGTTGAGGCTTCTGTGTAATTTTCTGTTAAATATATATTTTTTTGCTTTTTTCTTTATGCTGAAAAATGAATAACTTTGACTTAATGTCAGTTTAGTCTGGAAATTAAACACAAACTTAATTCCAAAAAAAAAACAAAAAAAAAAAACATTGAGATAAAATGTGAAACGTAGACAAAATCAGAAGGAATACAGCAGAAAGACAAGGTATGTAATGATTTACTTTATAAACTTCATTGTAATCTTCATTTATTTTCCTATTTATTTATTAGTTAGTAAATATACACTCATTCTAAAATTAATGCCTTCAACATGTTCCAAAAATGTTAAGACAGGGGTGATTTAAGAGTAGGAACATTGTGAAATGTTCAAAAAAAAAAATCTTAAACAGGTGAGGCAATCATTCTTAGGTATAAAAAGAACATCCAGTAACGGCCTAGTCCTTTACGAGCAAGAACGGGTTGAAGCTCACCACTTTTCCAAAAATGCATCGGCAAAAAATTCCAACAGTTTAAAAATAACTGCAATCAATCACAAGCATTTCAGGTATTTCACCCTCTACGGTGTATAATACCAATAGATTCAGGGAATCCAGAAAAACATCT